ATCCAATTTATGAGTGCTTAAGATAAATAACAAATTATATACATATCTACACATGTGTGTACATATTTAAACAGATCAATTCCATTTCAAATTAGGACCATAACTATAAAATCACAAACTGAACTGTCAAGTACGAGTTACTTATTTTAATAATCAGGAACCATTTATTGAGAAAATCAAACTAAATCAATTCGTAAGGTTGTGGTCTAGACCTGATCAATTTGTAATTTTTATTTTTTGATTTTTTCCTAATATATTCCATAAAGATGTTGCTACGCAAGTCTCATTTAACACATGGTATGTCTTTTCTTTCTTTTTAGTGGCTGACATACAATAAAATTTTATATAGAAATTATGGGCAAAATGAGTTGATACTTTGTGGTTTTTTCATTTTCAATCAAAACACTTATTATTATCATTATAATTTTATAAATGCGATTGACAAATCATTCTAAATATGTTTTTTACATGAATTTTATGTCTATAAATCACATTTCTTTTTCTTTCTATTTTTCCCTAACAATGTATTGTGTTGTCTTGAGTAGAGGCGTTAATTAAATGAGTTGGACCAACATGACTTATTTAGAGTCCGGCCTAGCATGAAATGAATCTAGGCGTACTTTGCTAGGCCAATGTTTTTTGCCTAATACCACACGTACTAATGGGCTTGGACACAACACAAGCCACATAATAGGCTCAAGAAAAAATATTTCATTAAAATTTGAATAATTCTACATAGATTAACAGTCTTATTAAAAATCTTAATAAAAACATAAGAGAATAAATAAGATTGGTTAAGATAGGATATAATGGCTAGATTTAAAGACAAAATTTAACTTTAAAAGGCACTCACAAAACCATTCTCTACTACTATGAATCACTATGTGTGACTTGAATAGTCGATTTTTCAAACCTTCTATATATTTACATATAAGTTATTGATAATCCAAATACGAGATGATGGCAATTGCATAAGCTCTTACATCAAAAATAACAATTAAGGAGTCCAATCATTGATTTTCGACCATGTCGCCTGAGCCGTATTATCACCACTGAGCCATATTAAGGAGTCCAATCTGTTGTCTAGGGTTCCATAAAAATTGAAATCAATCTAACCCATTTAAATCGTGGAATCAATTTGAACCAAACCATTTAAACATGGTTTAGTTCACTTTCGAACCACGGATTCACATAATCTATTAATAAAGAAAAATCATATAACATTTTCATTTCAACGTTAATCTGTCCAGAATTTTTCAAAACATAAACATGTATATTGTTCCACAATTAATTTAAACAAATATAATATTCAATTTCACAGCAACAATAGCAATAGTCATTACCAAATTTCAAAAAAAAAAAAAAAAAAAACTAAAACTAGTTTTACCATTACACCATTACAAAACTAAAATAAAATAACACAACAATAGCAACTGTTGCACACAACGAGAAGAGAAGAGAAAAGAAGAGAAGAGAAGATAATGAAATGCTATAGATTAAGATTTTGGTTTTATATATAAGAGGTAGGATAGTATACATCATGGATGTGTGGTGTGAATATAATCTAAGTTGCATACAGTCCAGATTAGTTCCAATCCGGAACCGTGAAGTGAAATCTGAACATGATTCGCAGGAAACGGTTGCTCAATTTTCCAATTCAGAATTGGACAACAGATTCAAAAATCCAATCCAAACCTACCGAATTATATTGAACCGATTCGGTTTGCGGATTTTATGAATTTCTTATTCAGCCCTATTCTTAGTGACAGTAACCAGATATACAACAGAGAATAGAAAAAAATATAGGTTGGAGGGTAGGTTTATCCTAAAAATTCCAGATTCAACCTTTTCATAATTACTTTCAAAGCTTTCATTAATTTTGCAATTTGAGAAATATTTTGTGTATATCTAATTTTATATATACTATTACTAGCCTTTCTTTTCTTTTTCTTTTTTCTTTTTTCCTTTCCCTTGTCCCTCTAAAAGTTTGTATAAAACAAGAGATTTAGCCACCAAAAAAATAAAATAAATGGATAAATTACACTTTGGCCCATTTATGTTTGGCTTCTTTCTCACTTTAGCCCTTAATTTTTTTTTTCTTACTTTAGCCCTTCATGTTTCAATTTTTTATGAGTTTACTTCTAAAATTAATTTCTATTAAAAATTAGACAAAAAAAAAAATACATTGATAGTGACATGGCATAAAAATATTTTATTATATGTAACTCGCATCTCTGAAATAAACTTAAATCTCAATATAATAATATGTTTTTTATGTTATGTGACAATCGTTAGGATATTTTTTACCTAATTTTGAACATAAGTTAACTTTAAGAGTAAATTGAAAAAAATTTAAAACATAAATAAGCCAAGAATAGTTTGAGGATATTTTGAATAATTTATTTTGTACATCTACTTTGTTAAATAAATAAGCACAAGAATAATAAAGTGCTTTCTTCAACAAAGACCCACAAGAAGCTTGAAGAATCTAATCACCTAATAATTTTTCAACATCTATTTTGAGTTTTTGATCATACTTGATGAAGTACAAGCTTAAAAAAGAAGAAGACAACTCATTACTTGACTGTCATTAAAACAGAAGCCTATACAATTAAGACCCTAAAATAAACCACGAATATCCACAAGAGCGACGGCTCTAAAATTGCACCTCAATTGTAGTAGTTGCGATGTTAACAAAATGAAAATGAACATAATGTATACATCAAGAGGAAGGGAGATACAAAATATATATTACTTCGAAATCTTGTTTTCTGCTGGAGCTGCCCTTCCACAACAACTTCAACAATGGATGAGAATAGGCCCTAAACCCTAAACAATGGTGTCCAATTGAAGAGAATCCGAAAAACTATTAATCAGATTCAAAAAACACCTCTTAGAAACACAAACACAAAAATGCTAGGATTTTTTGTGTGTAACTTTTCAAAAAGATAAAACAAGTTTAGGCATCAACTTTCACACAAGCAATGGTGACCATTTTTAAGCATACCAAGATAGAAGTAAAATTAAATGTAGATTACAATTACCTCGATTGAAGTTTCGTACAGATACAAAAGGAAAAATAACAAAAACAGCCCCTTCTCTCTCTCTCTCTCTCTCTCTCTCTCTCACGCATGCATTATTTTGTGTAACAACACATGCTAATCGAGACTATTTCAACGGCCTTCACAGTTCAAAATCAAATCATGAAGTATATGACACCCTGAAAAACCATATTCTGGTAAAGCTGGATAGATTGAAATTGGGCATGAATATTGACAAAATAACAAGAATGATGCAATATGCTTACTTAAAAGAGACAACCTTCGGGAGAGAAAATGAATATGTGACAATTGTAAACGCCTGCAAAGTGAAGAGAACTACAACTCATTTGATCTTTTGGGTGCCTTATTTTTATTTGATTTGCGTTTGAACATATAGACATAAAAGCAAGGCTGTCCATGTAAAGAAAAGAAAGAAATCTTTGTGCATTAAACATATAGTGTTGAAGGAATAATATGATATACTAATTTTACCATTCTCGAGCTTTTGATATTGTTCTTGCCTCTAACCCAAATTATTACCATCAAGCAAGACTAAGCTCTCAACATAGGTATCCACTGGAAGACAGTTGCATATGTTAGGTATTGTTAGGTATTCCAGGATTCCTAAATTTATCATCTTTTGGATTGTAAAGAACTAACCGATTGTCAAATTTCAATAAAATTTCACCATTCTTCGAAATGCACAATGTGTGTAGTGGCAAATTCTTGACACTATAGAATATGGTATTGTGAACAACTTAGTCCAAGGTTCTCTCTCGTCATTCTCGTTCGTTACCCATACATCAACACAAGTCGAGAAGTTGCAGAGCACATGGAGGCATCCTTTTAAAACACACAATGTCAAATCAATAACACCATCCTCATAATCAGGTGGGACAAATGCTCCATATGTTTCTGTGAGGCCTTTTCTAAACAAAACTGTGAGGCTTCGGCCAAAGCGGACAATATTGTGCTTCTGTGCTAGAGACATCCATAGATGGCGCCAAAATGAAGCAATCAACCCAACCCCACTAGCACAATATTGTCCGCTTTGATCGAAACCTCATAGTTTTGTCCATACGTTTCTGTGAGGCCTATTCTAAAGAAGAACAAAACTGTGAGACTTTGGCCAAAGCAGAAAATATTGTGCTACTGTGTTAGAGGCATCTACATATGGTGCCAAAATGAAGTAGTCAACCCAATCCCACTAGCACAATATTATCTACTTTGGCCAAAGTCTCACGATTTTGTTCTTCTTTAGAAAGCTAGAGGCATCCACAAATGACACTAAAATGAAGCAGCCAACCTAACCCTACCAGCACAATATTGTCCACTTTGGCCGGAGCCTCACGGTTTTGTTCTTCTTTAGAAACGGCCTCATGCTAGTTAGGAAGAGTTAGTCAACTTATTACGTGGGTTATGGATGTCTCTCAAATCAATGTGGGACAAACCCATTTCGGATTCCCACAAGTTCCTTCTCCAAATCAAGAGAAAAAATTACCGAAGAAGAGTAACTCGAATTTGTATCAACACAGGTGGCCCAATGGAGAGCCTGATTTCAAAATTTCCCTGAAATAAATGTACGCGGAGGAATACCATAAGGAAAGTCTCTGATCCTACTCCACGAATTCCTCATTAATGAATAAACTAACCCCCACCCCACTTTGGTTCCGATCTTGACTAAAGATCCTCATCGCCTTGTAGCCATTGGTAGACATAACCAAACCCACATGCTCTTGTAAACCCATTTTTAGCATCCAAATTTGGCAATATCTTGTGTGTCCTAGTAGATGGGCTCCATAGAAGTATAAAATGTCGACTACCAGCCTACACCAACCCATTACATGAACCTAAAATAAACAATGCATTACCATCTACTTGAAATGGACAATCAAGCTCAACGACAGTTTCTTCATCATCAGGTTCAGGTTGCTTATTATTGAATACATAGTAAAAAGATCACAACTTCAAATCAAATTCGTGAATATATCTCAGTATCAGTCTCTGCTGTATATAATCATTATCGGTCCTAGATGACATACCAAGATGGGTTTTCATGAATTGGGGATTTGAAATTGATGAACGCCATGATTTGAAAGCACATCTGAATTGCAACAGAGATTTAACAGGTAGTCTCGAGAGTATCTCGTCTTTGATGATTTCCTTAGGAACGTTCGGTAGCCATGGTTGTGAATGTTCTTCGGCTGGCACTGCACTTTTCTGGGACTTCTCGACCCTTTCGAGTTCTCACTCATTCGAATCGCTTTCAATTGCCATGGATAGTGGTGTTGTGTTTGTCATGGTTTGTGTACTAGGGTTTTGAGACCAATCATCCAGATTAAATTCATTTTAAATTTATAATAAATAAAAAAATAATACATAATTGTAGACACCTCATTTTTGACCGACCTTAAGACTTAGACGTCATCGTTTGAGCGCTCGATGATTGTGCATGTTTGTGCTCGTTTCAAGTTTTCAGAGTTTTCGGCTGAGTGCCCTACCTCCGGGCCTCTGAACTCTTTATGTTTTGGCTTGGTTTGTAGACCATGCCTTGTTGCCCTTGCCTGGAGGGAGAGAGAGGTCTGTAGACCACTTTTTGTGGTCGTAGACTACTTTTTCCTCTTGTAGGCTAGTTTTCGATTTTTGGAGCCTTCAGTCGAGCACTCTGTCTCGGAACCTCTTAACGTTCTCCTCTTGGCTTGGTTTTTGGACCGTGCCTTGTTGCCTTGGTCTAGAAGGAAACAGAAGTCTGTAGACCACTTTTTGTGGTCGTAGACTACCTTTCCCTCTTATAGACCACTTTTTGTACCCGTAGACTAGTTTTCAGGGCTTCTAGCTGCGTGCCTTGTCCGGCGGACTCTTGTCTTGTATCCTTTTTGGTTTGTTTTTGGCACAAACCTTGTTTTCCTTGCTTGGAGGGTGGAATAAGGGTTGTAGACTAGTTTCTCTCCCTAAAGACCACTTTTCTTCCCTGCCAGCCAGTTTTCTGGTCGGCCAGCTGGTCTTGGCATGCCACCACCTTGTTTTCTTTGTGCAGACCACTCCTCCCCCTTGCTGACCAGTTGGTCTCCTTGCATACCACTTTTTTTGGTCGGTCGACTAGTGCAAGTAGCTGGCCGACCACTTCAACTGGTCGGCAGCTTTCCTGCACTTTCTACAGATATTTTCCATGCCAGCTGTGCCAACTATTAGGCACAGAAAGCATCCTCCATACACATATGGAGGGATTGATTCAACCTTCAAACTTGCTCAACAAGTTTGATGCATGCTTTTCAATAAAAGGAAACCTCATCCCTCTTGTCTCAGGTTCAGAAAATTGCTTAGGGCATATACATATATCATCTATCTCTATATTGCTCCTTTGCTTCATATTTGTGCTTGAAAGTGCCTTTTCTTTACACTTTTGCACACAAACACATAGTGAAACACCTTCAATCTTGGACTGAGGTTCTTGGAGGTTTGTTTGGAGCTCAAGGCTTGGTTTTTGCCTCAGAAGTTGCTGTATTGCTTTGATTCTTCAAGGGTGAGTCTCTAATCCTCTTAAAGCCTTGTTGTAGTTGCTTACTAGGCCACTCTTGCATGCTTATTTTGGCTTGACTTTCAATTGTAAAAATTTCTAATTTTAAGTGCTTGAAATGTTTTCTTAAGGTCTCTTTGGTGTTGGGGGTGGTCTACCCCCTTTTGTGCCTTGTTTTGCCTTGTTTTGGGCCATCACTTTAGGCCTTTGTGATCACCTTTGCATGACCTTTTTACCACTGAATTCCAAAGGAATTTTAGTGGTGGAAAGTGTGTTTTGAGGTCTTAAATAGGTGGGGGTTGTCCCCCTCTCCTCTTCTCTTGTTTGTTTGTGTTGATGGTTCATCAAAGGAGCATGTAACTCTATCTTTTTGAAGCTTTGTTTGAGCCCTTTTTTGTGACCTTTTAGACCTGCCATGACTCTATTTTTGGTTGTCATGGTCACCTCTTGCATGCTTCTTGTAGGCGTGGTGTAATCCTACTTGAAGCTTTTCAAAGTAGCATGCCTTTTTAGCATGTTTTGGTTCTATGTCAGCATGTTTTTGGTGTTGTTTTGCCATGGTATAACTCTGTTTTGGGTTGGTTTGATAGCCTCTTGCATGCTCCTTGCACTTGTAGTGCAATTCCACTAAGCTAGCTTAACATGCATCATGCTTTGGACCATCATTCTAGCATGTTTTTGGCTCCACTCCAGCAAGTTTTCTTCATGTTTTTCCATGCTTAAGCTCTATTTTAAGTTGTTTTGGTCATGCATGCCTTGCTTTGTGTAGCCACAGTTCATTCTTGCTCACTAGCTTTGAATTCCCAAGTCACTAGCATGCATAGCTTGGGCTATTTGCATGATTTGGCATCATTTGTTATGTGATTTAAGTGCATGTAGTGTGGCCACACACTCACATGTGTCACTCTTTCAATGCTTTGGAGGATTGGTGCTTTATGCCTTAAATATGAGCCAATATGTATGCCATCTTGCCTAAGCTTTTGGGTTGCCATATCAGTGTGTTTTTGGTGTTGTTTTGCCATGATACAACTCTAATTTTTGTTGGTGACATCATCTCATACTTGGTTTTGGTAGGTGTAGTGTAATCCTCCTTATTGGCCTTGCATACTCCATGCTTCATGCCTTCATGCTAGCTTGTTTTGGCTACACTCCGTACATGTTTTAGCATCATTTTGACATGCTCTAGGATTGTTTTGGGTTGTCTTGGCCATATGGTTCATGAATTGCATAGCTGTAGTACAATGGGCTTGGCTAGCCTTGTGTGTTCATGCCTCTAGCATGCTTCATTTGTGACATGTGCATGATTTGGCATCATTTAACATGATATTTTAGAGCATATAGCATTGCCATATTCTCACTTCTTTCACCATTTGAGTGCTTTTAAGGGTTATGCCTTTGTGCCTCACTTATAGCCTAATTTGTATGCATGCATGCCTAGGCTTTTGAGCTCCCATCTCAGCATGTTTTAGTCTTTGTTTTGACCTATTTGAGCTCTGTCTATGGCTGGTTCAATCATTTGTGCCATGTATTGCATGCCTCTTGTGTAGTCCCTTTTGGTCGCCTTGTGCCTTAGGCCCTCTTGCTTGCTATACTTGTGTTGTTTGAGTGATTTGGCATCATTTCATACATGATTTCAGTGCATATAGTGTTGTCACACTTCCATGTTTGTCACTTCTTAATCGTGTTTGAGGGTTGTGCTCTTATGCTTAGTGGATAAGCCATTGCATGAGCATCACCATCTTGCCTTTCATGCCATCATTTCATAGCATTTTGGCCACTGTTTTGGCATGATTTAGGTCTGTCCATATTCGGTTTAAGTCCATTGAGCATTGTTTTGCATGCCTCTTGTGAGATGCTCTTTCCTAGCCATGATGCCCTAAGCTTCTAAACTTGCCATGCATGCATTGTTTGCATGATAGAATCTTGGGCATGTCATCCTAGCATTGGTAGAATAGCATGTTGTTTGCATGTTGTTGTATTGCATTGAGTTTGCATGTTGTTACATTGCATGTTGTTTGCATGTGCATGCATTGCATTTTGTTTGCATGCCATTAGCATTGATAGTTGATCAAGTTGCATTGCATTGTGTTTGGATAGAGTGTCAATCCAAACACGAGAAATGAGGGACGTTTCATACTTCAAGTGATGAAACGTGCCTCATTTCTCGGTCGCCGATGCTCTTGATCATGCATGATAGAGTTTAAGGCCCTTATGTGTTATTTGTGCATTCATTGACATTGAATTTTGCAAACTTGGCTTCTCAGCCATCGTGCATTGCGATGCATGGTTGGTGGCCCGAGAGTCGAGAACCGCACTCCCTTGAGCTTAAGAAATGATAGGGAAGGTGGTTGTGCACACATACCTTGCAAATACACTATTGTGCCCCTTCTTGTTCTCTGTTGCAGCAAACTGGAGTGTGGCAGAATTTTCTGGTCGGCAGACTAGAAAAAGTAACTGGCCGACCACTTTTTCTAGTCTGCAGCAAGTTTGGGTGGTCGGCAGGTGGTCTACACCACCCTTTTCTGGTCGGCAACCTTCCTGGAGGTCTCCATGATGGAGTAAAAGCTCTCTGGAGGTTTGTGTAGTGATCTGAAATCAAATGTCAACAGAGGCAAGTTGGGGCATAGCGATGGATTTCCTAGCGAAGCCGACCTAGCATGCATTGTTCAACTTTCCATAGCAGAGCTGAGTAGTGTAGTTTAATGCTTACTTGATAATTAGCATGTTTATGTAATTTAATTAATTTGTTAATTAGTTAAGGTGATGTAATAATTAGTTGTAGCTAGTTATTCGATTTGTTTTGCAATAATTAGTTTAATTAGCTTAGATTAGCTAGTTAGCTTATTATTTGGACCCTCCGTCGAGAGGGCACAAATGTTGTCATAAGTGTGCGTGAGTGTGTGAATGTTTTCCAACCCCACGTCTTTCTCCCTTTTACTTACCAGCTTTTGATGGTTAGTTTTAGGGCATGTTTTAATTAGCATACTTATGTTTGCATGCGTGCATCATTCATTTGTCTTGCATGCACCGGGCTCAGCACATCATTCAAACTGCATTGTATTTCAATTCCTATTTGAATACATGTATCAAATTGTTGCATTCATTTGCCATCTTAGCCAGCCGAGACTATTTTAGCTACATTTTTGCATGTGTTGCATTAGGCATCTTAACATAGCTAGGATCATGCATTGATTTCTAACATAGCTTTTGTTTTGGCTTGGAGTACTAGGTAAGCTTTTATGCTTTAGCATCCTTGCATGCGTGTAAGTGTTTCCATGTTCAGCATGCATGCCATGAGGCTATGTGCTTAACTGCTATAACTGCTAGAATGCCTGTGGGTGGAGGCTTGATTGCCTGAATTGGAACAACTCGATGATTGTGAGTTTTAAGCCCACTTGAAGTGGCAAAATCATGTTTTCTAAGCCCACTTGAGGATGGAAAATCCGCGTCTTAGCCTACTTGCGAGTAGCACTTTCAAAAACAAACATGAGTTATTTTGTTCCAACCCGCGTGATTGAGTCTATACTTGTGTGCTGTGCGCATCACATTGTAAGCTAGCTAATAAATTAGAATAAGAAAACATGTGTTTTCAAAAACAACATATCATGTTAGTAGAGGCCGATCCTTTGATCAGGCGAGCGGGGTTTCTCATTTCAGGACCTTCCCCTCTCGTACCCAAGTTTCCAAGCCGAGACAACTTTGGTGATGACAGATGCGTGGCCTTAGGCACGAGTAAGGGTTTCCTTAATTTCCCAAAACAAAATATTTAGGTGGCGACTCTGAAATCTGGCGCAGCAGTCCATGTTTGGCGTTTTTTGATTAAAATCGATTTTCCAAAACGATTTGCCGGATTTGGACTCTTTGGTGATTTATCAGTCTTACATTACACTTTGTGAAATTAGATCCAGAACCGTGACAGGAGTCTGAACTGTAGTAGCTATGAACACAATTCGCGCCCCGCGTGCGGAGCGGAGTTTGGGCGGTCTACAATAATCTATCATATCGCTGTAAGCAAAGTTAAAATTAAAACTTTTTATGATTCTTAATTTTTTTTTCCTTCAAATAAATAAATACTCACATCTATACACATGTAATCAAACATCGTATTAATCAACATAGTAATAATACAAGAATAAATTTCAAAAGTGCTCATAAATTTTACCATATAATACAAAATTTGTATAATATAATCCAACAATTAATTAACGATTTAACCCTAGCCAAAAGAATCAATAACCTAAACAACTCAAAAGAACATTCACAAGAAATCAAATTGCTGCCGGATTTGGACTCTTTGGTGATTTATCAGTCTTACATTGCACTTTGTGAAATTAGATTCAGAACCGTGACAGGAGTCTGAACTGTAGTAGCTATGAACACAATTCGCGCCCCGCATGCGGAGCGGAGTTTGGGCGGTCTACAATAATCTATCATATCGCTGTAAGCAAAGTTAAAATTAAAACTTTTTACGATTCTTAATTTTTTTTCCTTCAAATAAATAAATACTCACATCTATACACATGTAATCAAACATCGTATTAATCAACATAGTAATAATACAAGAATAAATTTCAAAAGTGCTCATAAATTTTACCATATAATACAAAATTTGTATAATATAATCCAACAATTAATTAACGATTTAACCCTAGCCAAAAGAATCAATAACCTAAACAACTCAAAAGAACATTCACAATAAATCAAATTGCTACTTAGACCAAGTCTACCACTACTGTTCTTTTCTCCAAGTTTTCTTCAGCATCAAGTAGTTCTTATTAAGGGTGTATGCAATACGGTTCAAACGGTTTGAGAGTAAAATTACAAATCGAATGACGGATTGACAGATTGACAAATTACAGTTTGAGTGATTTTTAACGGATTGACAGATTGAATAATATTCTAACTATTTATCATACATTTGCATAATATATAACACTGATTTGTATAATATTTTTTTAAATCTATAACACAGAGCAATTTTATATAAAATGTTTCATATATATAGAACCACTAATTTGTAATAAATTTCATATCTTAAATTTCTCTCACACTTATTTTTACATTGATATTTCATTAGAGGTTAAAAAATATATATGTATTAACTATAGCGGAACGGAACGGTTCAGTTGGTGGATTATAAATTTTAAAGTCTATGCAGATAGCGGTTAGAGCGGTGTGAATTGCTACGGATCAATTCGATTTCACTGAATTGAGCGACATTTTGCACAACCCTAGTTCTTATTGTTCTTTCAGTTTCTTCATCAGGTGTGGGTTCCATCTTGTCTTGCTTCTTTCCAGTTTTAATTTCTTCATGTGGATCTTCTTCTTCGTCATCATCTTCCTCTTCTGGAAAATCATGATAAGTGTAGAACCTAGCAACATATGCAAAGATTAACAGATTGGCTATGCTCACCACCACTAATGCAGCATAAAAAAGATCCAAAAGGCTCTGATTCATAGTGTCTGCAATCCAACTTCCATCTTTAGCTATTAACTTCATGACCACCATGTCTAATATCATAATAAACCCTATGTTCAGTATTTTTCCCCATCCAACCACAGCTTCAGTGAGTACGAGTGCATATCTCTTCCTCATTGACTCTGGAACCTGATACTTAAAGAAATCCTCCATACCATAAAGAGCTAATCCATCTATGATTCCCATCAGCAAACTGTGGAGAGAGCCAAAATACAGATATTGGTGAAATGGCATCGGGATTACCTAACAAGCCGTGTTCTTTCGAAGCTTTTAGCCTTTTATACTCCACCCACCAAGCAACTTTACAACAAGCCAAATCGGCAAGCATTCCTAAGCCAACCTTCATTCCAGCTGAGCATCTCCCATTTATTCGCTCTATTTGTCGTTCAAATACTATCATATACAGAGGTTGCACTGCACAATTCGCGAATCCTGCCATAGGAAGGAAGATTTGAATGGGGAGTTGAATTTGATGTTGTTTTTTTTGTAATACAATATGAGATGACTTGTCCATTGCATTTCCTTGCGCAATGAAGAAGGTATTACTATTGGATTTGATCACCCCATACAAAAGAAAGGTAGCTAAGATTGGAACCATTCTTAATAGAAGCTTTATCTCCACAACCTCATCCACTGTGCAATTAATCCATCCATTAGGAAGGTAGCAAAAATTGCATGGCACATTTATTGCAGCATTATTGAGCCACCTGCGCAAGTGTTAAAGATGTTAAAAACTACACAAATTTTACACCAATACCATTTCCAACTTTATTTCAAATATAATGCTATCATAATTTAGAACATTTTGCAAAATGTTTCAATATTTTTTGAAACAAAAACAGATGCCAACCAAGTTTGGGTTTATAGTTCCTAAATTTTCTATAAAGGTAACATAAAAATGTATGCATAAACTTTATGATCATTGTGTACTCACCGACAGTGATCGATGAGTGTCGTCCTTTTCTTGGGACCATGAGGTGTCTTCTGGTTGTGATCTTGACCTTGAGGTGTCTGATCTTCATCCCTATAGTTAAATTCTGTACCCTGCTTAGTAAAGTCAAGATGCATCTTTAAGAATGGAGCCAGAAGGACCTGCAACATGTTTGTGAGGGCACTTGCTCGCAGTTAAGGGGGAGGAGGGGGGGGGGAAGGAATGCGTATCCACTAAAAAATATAGCGATCCTAATTGCCATTACATATGCAGATATCAAAAATTGATGAGACCAATCAGGAGCAAAAATTGACATTACAAAAACCAATGTGATGCCACTTGCAGTTCCAACTATGTTGTAGGTATTTTGAATAATATTCTTCTGACGTTTCCTTTCGTCTCGAATCTGTCTTCGGCGAACTTCAAACTGCAACCAAACAAATTTGATTACCTTCGTTTTGGGTGGACCTCTTTTGAATTTTATTTTACCAAAGGTGAGAGCTTTCAAACATATTCCCTGACCAGCCTTGGCAAGAACAATCAAAGCTAATCCCCAATAGAATGGTGAAGTAGTTAGCTTTGAAGAGCATAATTTCTCCCTTGCTGGACATGACTTTACACCATTGGAAAAGAACTGATCAGGAACTGACATTACTAGCAACCCCAATCCCTGTATCAAATCCTCTCCTATTCATTAGGGAGAGAAAAATTTGAAAAATATTTTAAATTAATTTGGACCAACTTTGATGTAAGATAAGAGTGTATGCATCTTGACTCTAATTTTGATGCTAGATTTGAGTGGTTTCCAACTAAGAATCACTGTGGGTGGTTTGGCCACCCTAGGTTAGTGGTTAACATAGTCTGAAGAAATGGTCAAGGTGTTCGATCAAAGATTTAATTGCATTTTGGATCAAAAAAATAAGAAAGTTAGGGTTTACATTGTATTGTTCACGATTTGAGTTCTGGAGTTAAATTTGATTCATTGGCATATTCAAAGTATTTAAGAAAGAAAGGGTTATTGTTTACATGCATCATTTATATAAATACACCAATTGAAAAGGCCTCAAATATTCAATTTCATTCATTAATGCTCCAATTTTTATTTTTTATTTTTTTCTGGGAGGATGTAAGAACTTTGGCTTCGTACTTGGGTGTAGTACACCAAAGACCATGACTAAATTTGTCTGAGAAAACAAGTCAAAATGCATGAAGGGCTTCTAGAAAGGCTAAATTATGAGTTTTATTCTATCAGTGAGAATCGATTAAGAAGTATAATTCCCTATGGAAAAATGTAAGGAAAGACCCAATTCCTGTCTATTAACCTCAGTAAATGCATGAGTAGGTTTGTTTGGTTTTGGTTGTTGATTCTCAGTCAGAACAGAGTAGTTTATCTAAATCTTCACTACTACTACTAGCAAATTAGCAATGCTATGCCACAAATGAAAGGGGTGTGTAGAATTCCGGTGACTTACAATGCTGTAAAGAACACTTGTGATGAGAAACATCCCAGAGTAGCCAAGATAAGCATCTATGAGAGCGGCCTCCACTAACCCAGTGATACCTTCCGCTCCACCTTTAATGTTCATGATTGCAACAGCATGCTTGAGCTTTAACTTCCAAATGTGAGTCAAGAAGGTCACCAAGTTAGTGAAGACATACACGACCATATTGTTGCTGTAAATCAGACATGCAATATAGACATTCTGGTTTTTAGCACAAAGATTTAGATCTTATTTTATAATAACATGAAGTGTTAAATATTCAATTCAATGTGATTGCATAGACAAAGTAGGGAATCGGCATAATTTTCCTTTTCTAGGTTAAAACCAACATAGAAAAATCTAGGGAAGTTATATTATCAAATGTACTTTTACAGCATAATTTGAGAAACATATAAAATAGTTTTGGATAAATTACACGAACCTTCCTTGATAATTGGCAAAACTACATTTGAGTAACAGATGTCAGCCCTGCACTTGCGTGCGCCGCGTCTGCTTCAGTGCGCCCCGCGTGCGCCGTTTTGTTAAGTTGCGCCCCGCGTGCGTCGTTCTACTTCCGTGCGCCCCGTGTGCGCTGTTCTGCTACCGTGCACCGCGCGCCCTTCCTGCTATTGTGTGCTGTCTTCAACCTGCTATTGTGCGCCACTGACATCACTTTTCCCTCTGCTGACGTCATATCTGCACAGCAGCCCCCTTTCCTAGCTATTTTTGACCTTCCAGACTCACTGGTACGCTCTGTTTTACCAAATTTTGCTCGTACAGGCCTGCTCCTATATAGTTAGTCCTATTCTATTTTTACTATGGATCACCATGATGCCTCCCATCCAATTTTTGTTCTTCTTAATGGTTCCAATTATGTACTGTGGGCCCAAGCCATGTCTTCTTTCCTTAAAGGACGAAAACTTTGGTGTATTATCACCGGGGATGTGACCAAACTGGTGAAAGAGGCCGCTGAATCTACTGCCACATATACAGACCGACTCGAAGATTGGGATAGTAAAAACTACCATATCATTACTTGGCTTTGGAATACCTCTGTTCCCTCTATTAGTCTTCAGTTTGGCCATTTTCAGCTTTACTCTGTTTCTAATCTTGCTAAAGACATTTGGGTTTTTTTGAGAGATCGATACCAGACTACCGGTCTTGCCCATCAGTATCAACTTCAGAATCAACTTCACTGCATGAGCCAAGAATCCAGTCAGTCTATTAATGACTTTCTTTCTCAAATGTACTCTGTTTGGGACCAGCTTGCTCTCTCAGAACCGACATGGCCTCACCAAAAAGATGCTACCTTATTCACCACCTATCATAATCAGTAGCGGTTGGTCCACTTTCTCATGGCTCTCACTCTCTCTTTTGATCCCATGCGTGCCTCTCTTCTTCATCGCCTTCCATTGCCTACCCTTGAATAGGCTATTTCTGAGCTTTTATCTGAGGAAACTCGTCTTGGTACTCTCCAGACTCATCATGTGGACTATATTTTTACCATTCCTCAGTCACGGCCCTTACCGACCCAACGGTCCACTACTTGCATCTATTGTCTGAATCAAGGCCTTCCTTCTACTCATCTTTTGGTTCATTTCCCTTTCCGATCTTGCCGATATTGCAACAAACTTGGTCCTGGTCATCTGCAGCAGGATTGTTTTCGTAATCCATCCTGGTCATTTTCCACAAGCCACTCCTCTCGCGCTGGCTCTTCTAGGGAGAGCTCTCATCGTCAGTTTAATAGCACTGTTGCTGCTGCCTCTGAGGATTTTTTTGAGTCTCCTGCTTTTTCAGCCCCTGTTTTTTCTCAAACTGATGTGGAGGCCATGTTCAAACAACTTCTCTCCACCTCCGGTACACCTCCTCCTACTGCTTTATCTATGACTCCAAGTAACTCTTCTTGGTATTTTGACTCTGCTTGTTGTAATCATATGACTTCCAGCTCTACTATATTCTCCTCAATCTCTCCCTCTACTCATCTTCTCTCCATTCATACTGCTAATGGTTCTCTCATGTCTGTCAGTCTTGTTGGGACTGTTTCCACATCTCAGTTATCTTTACCTCAAGTTTATCATATCCTTACTCTAACCTTAAACTTTATCTCTATTAGTCAATTATGTGAGATTGGTCTAAACGTCACCTTTTCTGCTAATGGTTGTTTGGTGCATGGCCCTCAGACAGGACAGACTATTGGGATCGACTGTAAGCATGGACGTCTCTATGACCTCATTCAACTTCATATTCCAGATTCCCCATAGATCGCTGCTGCTGCTGCATCTGCTTCCTCTTTATCTCCTTTTCATCCTTGGCATTGTCGCTTAGGACATCTTTCTGTTAGTCGCTTAAAGTCTTTGGTTTCTAGTGGTCAATTGGGTCATGTACTTCAAGATACTTTTGATTGTATACCCTGTCAACTTGCAAAACAACCTGCTTTACCTTTCAATAAAAGTACTTCTGTTTCTCGTGCTCTTTTTGATCTCATACATTCGGATATTTAGGGCCCATCCCCTACTACTACCAAGGGGGATCTCGTTATTTTGTTGTTTTTATTGATGATTATTCACGATTTACTTGGCTTTTTCTTATGAAAACGCGGTTAGAACTTATACATCTTTATTATAGCTTTGCCAAAATGGTCCACACCCAATTTTCTAAAACCATTAAAAATTTTCGCTCTGACCATGCTATGGAATATTAGGATACCGATTTTCTTTCCTTTCTTCAGAGTCATGGTACTTAGCCTCATCGTTCCTGTGCTAGCATGTCCCAACAAAATGGACGTGCTGAACGAAAGCATAGGCATATTCTTGACACTACTCGCGCTCTCCTTCTCGCGTCTTCCTGTCCTGAAAACTTTTGAGGGGAAGCTGCCCTTACTGCTGTGTACACTATCAATTGTGTTCTTCCTCCTGTCATCCATAATCAAACTCCTTTTGAATGTCTACGTGGCACTTCCCCTTTATACACCAATCTTTGGGTTTTTGGCTCTGCTTGCTTTGTTCTGCTTCAATCCCATGAACACACCAAGCTTGAACCTCATTCTCGTCTTTGCTTCTTTCTTGGATATGGGATTGAACATAAAGGCTTTCGCTGTTGGGATCCTCTTTCTAAACATCTTCGTATCTCCCATCATGTAGTTTTCTGGGAGCGCAAAATGTTTTCCTCTCTCTCCTCCTTTCACTTTCCCGCACTCTCCACTCCGGTCGTCTTTACTAATCCTTCCCTAGATCTCTTTTCTAATAACTTTGATACAGGTTCCTCCTTTATCGAGACGCCCTTGTTGATCCCTGATCCCGACCAGACTGCTCTCCCTAATATTCCATCTCTCCTTGCACCTTCTAGTCCGTCTCCTCCTTCTTTACCAGCTCCTTCTTCCTACCGATCCTCTCACGGGTCGACCGCATCGAGTAACTCAACCACCTATTCATCTTCGTGATTATATTGTTAGGTTTGCTGCCTTTTCTACTTATGAACCTACCTCCTATCGTGAGGCTTGTACTAATCCTCTTTGGCTGCTAGCTATGACTGATGAACTTCAGGCTTTGGACAAAACTCATACTTGGGATGTTGTTGATCTTCCTCCTGGCAAGACTGCAGTTGGCTGCAAATGGGTCTACAAAATCAAGACTCATTCTGATGGCTCTATCGAGTGCTACAAAGCTCGTCTTGTTGCCAAGGGTTTCAGACAAGAATATAGCATTGATTATGAGGAGACCTTCTCCCCTGTTGCTCGACTTACCTTTGTTCGCAGTTTGCTTGTTGTTGCTGCTGCTCGCCACTGGGAGCTCTTTCAGATGGATATCAAGAATGCCTTCCTTAATGGTAATCTTCTTGAGCAGGTCTACATGCAACCTCCACCTGGGTCTACTTATCCCACTCATAAGGTTTGTAAACTACAGCGTGCCCTCTATGGTCTCAAGCAAGCACCCGCGCTTGGTTTGCTAAGTTCAGTTCTACCATTCATGACTTCGGGTTCACCTCTAGCTCCTATGACTCTGATTTATTTATACGGACTACTCCTCATGGTACCACTCTTGTCCTTCTTTATGTGGATGATATGATTATCACTAGTAATGATGCAGCTGGTATTCTTTACCTCAAGCATTTTCTCCACTGTCAGTTTAAGATGAAGGACCTTGGTACTCTTAACTACTTCTTAGGCCTTGAAGTCTCCTATGATTCTACTGGTTCCTATTTGTCCCAGGCCAAATATGCATCCGATCTTTTCGCACGTGCTAGTCTTACCGATTGCAAAACTACCTCTACTCCAGTTGATCCTCAGATTTATCTCACTCCTCTGATGGGGATCTCCTCTCTGAAGCTACTCTTTATCGCCATCTCGTTAGTAGTCTTGTCTATCTCACTGTGACTCGTCCTGACGTTGCCTATGCTGCTCACATTGTTAGTTAGTACATGTCGCCTCCTCTCACTCCCCACTATATTGCTCTACTCTACATCCTTCGCTACCTCAAAGGCACTCTGTTCCATGGCCTTCACTACTCTACTTCCTCCTCTCTTGAACTATGTGCCTTTTCTGATACTGATTGGGCTAGGGATCCTACGGATCGACGCTCCACCACGGTTTCTATTTTTTCTTAGGGGATTGTCTTCTTACTTGGCGTAGCAAGAAATAATCCCTCACTGCCCGCTCTAGTACCGAAGCTGAATATCGAGCTCTTGTTGATACTACCCAGGAATTTCTCTGGCTTCGCTGGCTCCTTGCTGATATGGGTGTTTCTTCTTCTGGCGTTACCTTTCTCTATTGTGACAATCAGAGTGCCATTCAGATTGCTCACAATGATGTTTTTCATGATCGCACAAAGCATATTGAGATTGATTGTCATTTCATTAGACAGCATGTTACACGTGGTACTGTTCTTCTTCTCCCTATTGCTTCTGCCGATCAACCTGCTGATATTTTCACCAAAGCTCATCCTCTTGTGCTCTTCAGTAATCTCGTTTCCAAACTCAACTTGGTGGTTGACTACTCTCCTTTAGTTTGCGGGGGGATGTTAGTATATATTATATACATTAGATATATGCTGTAAAGAAATATACATTAGATATACATTAGATATATGCTGTAAAGAAACAACACCTTCATTATTATGTTTTCCTAGTGCTTAGCTTTCATTATGTTGTCTCTTTCTCCTTTTGGTGCTCTTCTCTATAAATGAGAAACA